TTTTTTACTGATGGGGTGCGCGATCAAAAAAGTTTGGAGATCACTGATTTAGAGGCTACAGCAGGTATTGACATTTTAGGATTTTTTTATGTTGTTTGTCTTCACTTTTGTCATTGAATTGCTTTGTGTGACTTTAAGTAACTCACTATAAACTTCTTACGCCTCAGCTTTGTCTTAAGTGAAGATAACATTTACTGATCATAATAGGTATGAGGCTAAATTAATATTTGGAAAGCTTCTGTTGAACACTAGATATCTGAGAATCTTTCTTACTGATCCTCGGATCCAGTCTAGTTCACCTTCCTACCTTAGATTGCTTTGTTTTAAACAGAGGCAGAAGAGTCTAGACATTTGTAGCACTGCTTTACATTTTATTTTTAAAAAGTGACCACAGGATCATTGTTAAAAATGTATAATATCCTAAATGTATTGTCTGTCCTGTGGTATATTTTAGTTTTACACTAAATTATTAATTACACTTTTTTATTGTATAAATTCTCAGTTATAGATGTGACCGAGTAAAACAAATTAAACAATTTCTTTTATTACTAGTGGAATTCCTGTGGAGCTGTGAAGCATTCATTCTATTACTTGTTACTTTTTTCCTTTTTCTCCATTCTCTCTCCTGCTTGTTCTTTTACTAGTTAGTCTGTGTATTCATTTTTCAATAGATGGCACCCTGCATTGTGTATTACAGCAAGTGAAACAGCTGGTATGTGATTACAAATTGATGGGGAAGTATGCAGCTTGAAAAGTGCAGAAAAATTGCTGTTGAACTGTTTCAAGACAGGAGTAGAAAATTTTTGTTTATGCACAATGAGGAAATGTATTTTGTTGTCATTTTTTGGTGAATGACCAGTACAGTAGCTCTGGGAAAAGGTTTTAATATTGAATGTTACCTTGGGAAAGAAAAATGGCAATAGAAAATAGTTTCAGTATTTATAAGTAATATTCATATAGCAAAGAAGAACATAAGGACATTGATTAAAATGTTGCATCTTATCCAGAAGTTTATTTGAAAGAAGCCAATATTACTTTAGATTCAATTAAATATACATCTGTGTATATATATTTAAATATGCATCACCTGAATTTAACTGCTTCCATAATGTTTTTATTCATTTCTGTTTTGCATAAATTGGATTCAACTGTTTCTTTTTAAATAGTGATTAAAGCGTCAAATTCTTTGTCCCAAATAAGTTATAGGCTATTTAAAATTCTTAAGTTTTTAACAGCCTTAGAAGCATGCATGTCCTTTTGGCTGCTTTAATGCTGGCAACGCTTAAGCATGTGCAGCTTTACCGTTGAATAAAGACTCACAGCATTCTTTTTCTCCTCTGTTATATAAGGGCCAGTGATAAACACCTAAGCCTTGGCACTTGCTTCCACTGTCCCTGCCACTAGTAGAGCTCCAACAGGAGTGAATTATGTACCTGACTTTTTTTCCTAGCATAGATGAGGAATTTCGTGCATTGACTACATATGTTAACTTATAAGATGGAAAACCCCCTAAATGCAATATATTTGGCAACAGTAAGCCTTTGGAACTGCTGCTCTCAGTTGATGTAGTAAATTTAGCTCTTTCCTTCTTTATGGATACTAAATGTAAAAACTTGGTGCTGTTTCCTTAGGGTATAGTAACTTTTTAAAAACAATGCAACTGCAAAGGGAAACTGATTGAAATAAATATGCATCTTATTGGTCTAAAGTTTTACTGATTTAAAAGGATTTGTATATGTTTTTATGAACACACAATTAAAACTTTAGGACCTGAACTTGCAACTACTTATTGCTGATGGCATGCTTTACATAAGTGAGATTACTAACTCTAATAAACATTAAGAACTCATGCCAACAAAACATTTAAGGACAAGTAGGACTTCAGGCATTGACTGTAAGGGAACTACATATCTACTTGTAGTTAAGCAGTGGTCTGCTTAAGCCTCAAAGAAGTTAATGGAATTTAAGTGCATGCCTAAGCGTTTTTGCTGGATTGGTACTTAGCCCTAGTAGTGTTTGCAAGATTAAAGTAAACCTTGCAGTGACAGGACACTGACAGCCCCCATTCTCCTGCTTTGCTTGTGGCAAGATGGCAAATTAGAGTATTCTTGGTGTTTTGGGGGCAATATACCTTGCAGTTGTTCAACATGATTGTGTAGTTTTAGGAACAGGTTGTCAATACTTGTACAGGATAGTTTGGACAGGGATGATTCTGCCCAGAGTATGGGGTTGGACTTGATGACCTCTGGAAGTCCCTTCCAGTTCTGTTTTCTATGACTCCATTATTTAGAGGGAAAATTGATTGCTAAGCTGTGCCCAGTTTAAAAACTAGAATCAACCACTCTGAAAGTCAGGTTGGCCTCAGTCTATCACCATATGATGGGTAACCACAGAATTGTTATAGTCTAGCTTGGGAAGGTTTGAGAACGCAATAGTAAAAGCCCCCTGCATGTAGACAAGGGATGTGAAAGTTCCAGAGAAAACTGCTTGCCATTCTGTGTTGGGTGATAGGGAAAAAGTTGGTGTCAAAAGACTGTAGAGATCTCTCCTACCTTATGTCTCCTCCCCCACATAAAACCGATACCAGCCTGCTGCCATTCTGTCTACACTGCTGGCACAGCATTACATAGCTAGTTTCCCATGTACTCAGAAGCAATGTAAGGTAGCTTATATTTTACATCTTGTTTGTCTATTAATATTGTAATGAAATTCTTCATCTTCACTTTGCAGTCCTGATTTGTTCGTCACACACCTACTGGGTGGCTATCCACTATATCTGAGTCTCTCTACTGCTGCTTTTTTAGCATTAAAGCATAACTCAACATGTGCCTTATTTACAGTGCAGCCATTGTGACTGCAGTCTTACGTAGACCTGAGTTATGTTTTGTAGCCCACTCTCAGTTTTGTATGCCACAACTATATTGCTTCCAGCATTTGAGAGGCTAGATAAATACTCTGGCAGATAGCCAGTGTTGAGTTTGCTGCTGCTGCAGCTAAACTGTTCCTGGTACCCAGGCTAGCTTGTTTAAAGCTCATTTAAGTATGTCTACCTTACACTGCAGTCACAGCAGGTAAGAGGTAAAATACAAGCTATGCCACTTTGCCAGGGAGACTGGCTTCTGAGTAAATTGAAAACTAAATATGTACTGGTAGAAGGAATATAAAATAAAATCTGCCTCATGTTAGTCTTACACAGTAAGCATATGCTTTGGTCCTAATGTGAAATGGATATTGCATGGCTGTATTACCTACAGATGTCTGAGATTAAATGTCTCTACAGGAAAATATGAAATAAGACACACAAAACCTTTCTATTCCACTTACTAAAATTATCGTAGTAGTATTTGTCAAAAATGCAAGAACAGAAGTCTGAATTCAAATACTTTACAGCTTTAAATGTGTGTTTCTGCTTGCTTGTTTGCTTTAATCAAATAAACATTCTTCATTCATCACTTTTATTATCAAATAGATATAAAATCTGACTAGTTCAAAATGTGTGCAGGTGACTTTATTAATTGAAATGTGATCTTTTTAAACACAAGTAGTAATCTATTTTTTGCTTCTTTCAGCCCATCTGGAAGCCTCAAGACAATGACTTACTGATGCAAGCTTATACAGAGTCTGAACTGAATCAGTCTGGAATATGTGCATTCTGTCAGGAAGTTTTCCCACCATCACTTACATCCAAAGGGGATTTTCTCAGGCATCTTAATTCACACTTTAATGCACAGTCTTAATGTATCATAATGCTTGCTTATTGTGTGTAAAGCAAGCTGAATTCTGTGTTGTTGTGCTATTGGATTGCTGTTCTGTATATATTTAAATTTTACTTCAATACACATTAGGAATTTAAAAATTAAGGCTATGTCCACAAAAAACAAATTACTGGAACTTTTTTCAGTTGAATGCATTTTATTTTTTTAAATTACCTTTGACATTGCAGTCTTACAATTTTAAGTCATTCAGTGAAATATAGAAATTGTCATATTGTTTATCATGTTTTAGCATTAGCTTTGGGCCTGCTCCTACAAAGCTTTTTTTAGGTTTTCAATTAGCACCTGAGTAATCCCACAGTAAGCAGTGACTACTTGCAGGAGTAAAGGTTTGTAGGATTAGGCCTTTAATTTCTGGAGGTTATTATTAAAAATTTTCTGTATTAGCTAGGTGCCTGATCCTCTGAAGTAACTAGGAAGAAGAAACAGGCCCTATTTTTTTAATTCTGGAGTGGTATTTTCTAATTTGACTTAAGACAGGATCAATATTGTATTCAAATTGAGAGCAACTATAAAATTTCACAGGTGTTGAAGGTCTTATAAAATCACCAATATCTAAATTCCAGATGTGACAAACTTTGGGAAAGCTAAAACTTTCTTTTGTCAGCAATGTGAGAGAGAAGGCCATTCCACCAGTGCAAATCTTTACTAAAGATTTATTTTTAAATACCATAGGTTGATTAACCCTTAGCTAAAATGTAGAGGTAGCAATACAACATTTGACAGCTGCATTATTAAACCATTTATTAATGTACCCTGCCAGCATTAATACTTGTGTAAAGTACTCTCCTCCATAGGAGTTGAGACCTGGTTTTCTGAACAGGTTAAATGAACAAGATTTAAAATTTCCCTGAACATTCAAAAGAGAATATAGTTTTTCTTTTGGCTCTTTACTGGATATCATTCAGACTTCCTTGGGTCCAAAATTTGACAACCAGACATACAGATGAAAGTCCACTGGCTTTTTTTAAAAAATAGAATTTAAAATTAAACAGTTGAAAGATTTTTTTGTTTGACAAGTCAATGCAATTTATGACTATTGAAGTAAAAAAAAAAAATGCAAGGTAGCACAGAAGTTGAAAGGTAAAGATGGTCTCAGGGGATGGTGGAGTTGGCTGCATTTGGACTAAAGGTTTTCAGTCCAGGCATATTAGCATCAATATTTCTTCTCTACAGGTAAGCACTCCCGCCCGCCCGC